ACTCGTGTCGCGACAGGATTGGTCGAATCTGGACCAATAGTGGACGAGCAGCCGAACTACTTACACACTACAGAGAGTTTAGGTGGGTAAGTTGGGTTTACTATCGTCTGTAGAGTAAATAAATTAGGTACTGTAAGTCTAATACAGTACTGTAATTTGATACATTTCTTGTGAAAAAAACATTTCTTATTCAACGGTCATAAAAATTATTTCTATTAATGATGTCTCCAAAGTTAAGTTATTTTTCTGCGAAAAATTCGTTATCAGAAAACGCGCGCTCCGCGACGAAAACAAGCTTAAGCAATGGCGTCGTCGAACGGTGCACACTCGGTAAGTAATCCTATAATTTTTTGTTTATAGCATAGTTTATACGGATTATTCCCAAAAAATTATACACGTTTTGGAAATGTTGAGTGGAATTAGTCTAGAATCGATTAATTTTATGGAAGAAAACCTTTCAAACAGCCGCAGTCCGTAAACTGCACACATGCCGGGTTGTGATTGGCTCGTGTATTTGAGGATTCCTACAACGCGAAATTCTTATAAAGCGGAACGTATCTACCGCGTTATAGGGGGGTCGACTGTATTTGGCAGGAAAAATCACATCATCGTACTCTGGCAACATTGCAGCAACTCGGATGTCGACAAAATGGCTAGAGTAGATAAGATTCCCTCCAGTTTGACCTCGATCGACGATATAAAAAATTCATTATCGATGAAAATACCCTCCCATTGGCTTGCCCTGACGTTTACTTCGAAGATCCAGGCGATCGTCTTGTGTTTATGATTTACTGACGGTTCCAAGATGGGTGACGATGAGGGTGTCGTTTTTGTAGTTTACTCGGACTTAGGCCGCAAGCTTCGCAACGCTTGCTTCCGTCTAGGTACGCACTGCTCAATAGTATGGGCGGAAACTTTAGCTATTTATATGAGCTCAATTCACGTTAAGCGTAGGAAGGACAAAAGACGCTACTTACGCTATTGCATTTATTCTGACAGTAGGGTAGCTTTACACGGAATTGCGAAGTTTGATAGCAGCTTAAAACTCGTCCATCTCATACACTTAGACAACAATAGAATAGATTTCCAATGGGTCACGGGTCATGCGGGGGTTCGTGGCAACGAGACCGCTGACCATCTTGCCAAACAAGCTGTAGTTACATTCCTACCTTGTACATCAACAATCTTTATTCTCTGGCAAGCATCACCACTGGTAGGCTCACCTACACTTTCATCCCCAAGGTTGACAATACTGCAATTCTTCGCCACTTTTATCCATTACACCCTGACTCGGCTATTTACGGGACACGGCAGCTTTAAGCAATATTTGCATAGATTTAACTTTGGGGACAATGCGATTGTGATATTCAGTAAAACTAAATACCACTTCACTTAGTTTTTTTGCTGAAATAGGTACAATCACATTAGGGATAGTTTAATGAGAGCTGCTGTTCTTGAAGGGTACAAGTGGCCTTGCAACCCACACAAACTCACTCACACATGTACAATGTTCCATCATCTACTCGCATTCCCTGGAGCAAGTACTCTCAAGAATCCCACTAAGGGTTCTTGACAGCACTTGCTCCAAGGGCATAGATGGCAATTAGCTTACCCTTGCTTTGTTTCAACCGTTGTTATACAGGACGAGTTTTTTATCTTGAGACAATGAAATAATTGGATCTCATTAATTGTCTATACCATTTTCCCAAAATAAAGTTGTAGGGTTTCGAAGGCCAATCAATTGGTGACCTTGGATGTGACCGGTCATTTGAGGGTCAAGTCTCTTTTTTCAATGGGAACACGCATTTTTTGACCCCGGCAATGGAAAAAGTGGGAAAATTTCAAACCGGATATACCTTTGACTTTATGGTTTAGATCAAAGGTCAAGATTATTTTAAACTTAAATTATAAGCTGTTTCTAATGGGAAACCATACTTTTTATTACAGGAATAGGCAGGGAGGTAAAAGTTACATTTACATGGAAAGAGCAGGAAATTTCAATCAACCATGACCTTGAGTATCTCAAATTTGACTTCTGAAGGTCATCTCACGTGATAATTTTAAGTGCGGCTCAACAAATGCATCAAAGTGGAAGGGCATCATGTTGAACATTTGTTATAAAATTTTCCCCAAAACCAACATCTCAAGCAATGGTGAGAAGTAAAGTGACTCACCGAAAATAAGCACCTCAAAAGGGAGCAGAAACTACTACATCACATTGTTACTCCTAGGTAGTGCTAAAAGTTGTGAATGCTTTTAAAGGTCAAAGTAATAACGTCATGAAAAAATGAAACTTTTACATCCCTGCCTATTCCAGTAATAAAAAGTATGGTTTCCCATTAGAAACAGCTTATAATTTAACCTTAAAATAATCTTGACCTTTGACCTAAACCATAAGGTCAAAGGTATATCCGGTTTGAAATTTTCCCACTTTTTCCATTGCCGGGGTCAAAAAATGCGTGTTCCCATTGAAAAAAGAGACTTGACCCTCAAATGACCGGTCACATCCAAGGTCACCAATTGATTGGCCTTCGAAACCCTACAACTTTGTCTATACTTTTTTCCCAAAATAATGAGATCCAATTAAGTTATTTCATTACCTCAAGATAAAAAATTCACCCTGTATAGCTACCTTTTAACTTTAGACTGAAAAAGAGAAATACAAATTTGGTTAGTCCTAGTTGTAAGTTAGACTAGGGACTCTTAGCTTGGTTTCTGGTTAGGTTATGATAGGATGAACCTAACCAGATGACTAAAGCTAACAAACCCTAATCTAATTTAACCTAACCTAAATTATGGTAGGTTAGGTTAGTATGTTAATGCTTGAAAAAAAATAAAAATTTGGGGTCTTGCTCATTTACTTTGTTTTTGGTCTCTGTCAGTCTGTTCGTCTGGTCTAGTTTGTTGTGTGTTCATTTGCTTTTTACACTGCATGTCTGGCTGTTTAGTATTAAGATTTGCAATTGCATTCAGCTTTATTAGTATTAAATAGATATAAGTCTTTCTACTAACAGCAAATTCTACACTTAGCTATTGGTGTTTGCTACACTTGGATTTTCTTTTACACCCTCCGGGGGACTACGGCCTTGCAGCCTAAAAACTGCATGCCAACATCAACATTGAGGGTACTGTAGCCATATGCATGCCGATACAGTAGAGAAAGGTAGGATCCCCTATCTCCTCTCCCTCCTTCTTCGGGCTACGTTTTGACTAATAGTGTTTAAACTTTGTCGAGTTTTTATGTTTGAAAGTGGTTAGGACAGGTCTTTAAAACTACAATAATGCTGTATACTTTTGTTTTATATTTGCACCTTAAACATAGTTCAAACTCATACATATAAATATTTAATGTGCCCTACCTAAACTACAAATACTCTTCTGTTATGACTTGTCATGACAACAAATACAGCGTAAAGCAAAACTGGGGGAAATGGCCAAGCAAGGACCTAGAACTATGACTTGTAGTGCACAAAGATTTTTTAACTATGTAATATAAACAACTTCCAAAATCACCATAAAGCTCCTTTTTAATTAACAAAGTCTTATCGGCATACATATGGTAGAATTAACTTTATATTGCTGGTTTTCTTGACCAACCAGGTATTTTCTTTTAAGATACTTTTTGTGATACATTTGATAAATTAATTTGGATTGAGAAAAGGCACTACCCGAATTCAAACCTTTCCGTTAGTGTCCAACTAAGATTATTATTAATTAACAATAATTTGCTAGATTACTGACATCATAAAGCAAATACTCTTACCTTTGAATAAGCTATGTGAAGCATTAAGTTTTAACCAAAGATTTAAATTTATACTTAAGACAGTTGTTGTAGATTTGAGCCAGCTACTGTTTAAGATTCATCAAACTGAGTTGAGGAAATGGTTAAATTTTGTTTTTAATTCATTATCTTGATTTTAAGGTGAATGTGGCAAATTTAAACAGAACACTTGAGTTAACATGGTATGTTTTATTGACAAATACATCCATTCCAAATCTATATTTATAAATTACGATAACCTTTTTCCATTTTTTATAAATCATCCGACAAGCAGATCGCTAGTAATAAATATTGTATATGTTTAGCACAAAGATGTCACAAAGGCACTTCTGGTCCACGTATGCTTCTAAATAGAATTTTAGAAAGTAAAGAAACTGGAGTAAAGTCGGTTCCTCGTGTTCAATTTGAGTTATTCCTTTGCCACACCCAAACTGGAATTTTATATATTCAACTAGAATATATTTGAAGTATGATACTTGTTAGTGGAAAGACGACAAGTAATCTTGGTTTCTGAATTTCAGTCCACAACGGTCTGGTCGAGTGTGTTGGCGCTGCAGTCTCCCACGGTCAGCCGGAACATTGCCATTTCAGATATGCCATGATAGTGTACAAATGCTGCGGCGATCACCAGGACGTGAAAAATCTGATGACTGTGAAACTACAATTAAAAATTAAATGATTGCAACACAAACAAACACTGACTCGCTGCACCTTCATCTAAATATTTTACAAATAATATGCAAGTCTAGCTAAATTATAAGCTTGATATATTTTGTAGCAAAAGTGCTACCAAAAATTGGGTTTCTTGTTTTTAATACTAAACATACAATCCATTAAAAAAGTAAATGTAGAATTGTAATATTAACATTTAAAATTAACAAACTTGAATCACTTACCCAAATATCACATTTTCCAGGGAAGAAGCGTTCTGGTAATCTAAGTGCATATAATAAAGCACCCAAGATGTAAAGTGATCCCATTAAACATAACCATCCAAATGAAGCGCTGTAGACTGCTTCGAACCAGCCGTTCACAATTAGATAATGCACGGACGGTATTGCTCCGCTCAGACCGAAGCCCATAAATACACCTAAAAACAATGTTGAAGTTACATAAACAATTAAAATAAACACACACACACACACACACAGCTCTTACCAATAACATTTAAAATAGCATTACAATTTTTAATCAAAATTCCATTTATGGCAAAGCACAATATATAATTAATATTTTGACAAATGCTTTCTATTTTTAAAATTTCGCTGGATGTAAAAATTTTTTAATAAATAAAAAGACAGTCAATTCCAAAAAATTTTTGTTAAAACAAAAATTTTTGGAATTGACTGTCTTTTTATTTATTTAATAGCTTTTTTTGTTTGCTTATAAATTATAAAGTTATAAAGTTTAAGAAATATCTGTTAAAATCATAATATAAAGTAGGAGAAAATAAAATTGATAAAATCTAAATACTATCATTGAAAATATTTTATCATGATACTACACATTTCTTTTTATCTTTGTGTAGATTATTATAGATTGTTGTACAGGTATAAAGCATATTCTTAATTATATACGAAACCAAATGAAGTTGTTAATGGCTGTTATTCTAAATATTCATTCCTGTATTTTGTTTACGTCTTAATTTATCTAAATTACGACATTTCAGAAAGGTAATAACGTAACTTGGACAATTAAAATTTTTGTTGTTTCAAGTTAATTTAATCTAGGAAATTCGTCATCTAAATAACACGAGAATATATTGTCAGAATTCTAAATCTCGGGTGTTATTTTAAAAATAATTTTGTACTTAAAACACAGAAATGTAACTATGAGAAATAATAAACTATTTTATGTATTTTATATTTTGTTTAAATGCAAATAAAGGAATTTGAAATGAGTGTTATATTATCAAGAGTTACACGAGGGAAATAAAAATTATAAATATTTGTAAATGAATGCATTGACTTCTATCTTGTAATATCCTGTATTTAATTTTTGCTGAAAAATTAAACAGGAAATGATTTGTAAAAATCATTCTGTAGGAAACAGGTTTCACAAACACACACAAACACATATATATTTTTTACTATTTTTATTTTATTTACTATATTAAAGTAAGATAATATTAAACGCTACTTGCTTACTTCTCTGAATATTTATTTATTAGGAAATGTTAAGAATAAAAATATTTATTTAAAATAATGTGTATTTTTAAAATATTTTATAAACAGGATGCAATTGATGATCAATATTTATTTAGATAGACTAATGGCATCCAGACACGAGAAAAAGTTAAAATAAAACTATGATTTATTGCTATTTATTTTTATTTTTTATCAGGAAAATAAGAAAATAATACATGAAATAATAACAATATTTTATAGTGTATTTTAAAGCAAAAAGAAATTTTACAGACTTATAGTTTTATATTTCCTTTCGAAGAAATCTGTTACTTTTATTACTTTTTAGTTGTACTGAGAGTTTAATCAAATAATAGGTTTCTATTAGAATTAAATAAATGCATTTTATAAAATATTAAATCAAATATGATACGAAGTTGCAAAATTCATCCTCACGTATGTACTGTACATACAATAAAAAACTGTGGTTAAGTGTTTTACTTTAATTCACGATCCTCCCTTATCTACATTTTACATTGACTCCGCTTCTATTAATTATGTTACGTCATTCAACGTTCTGAGAATAATCTTTGATAATAAACTTACTTTTAAGAATCATATTGATAGAATAGTCAAATCACTAGCTATTACATGTGGAATATTATGATGTTTCTGTAAAACCTATCTCATCTACAAGTGCATTAAGAGCCTTTCTTTTTTAATTTTCAGTCTTGCATTGATTGTGGATTATCTATTTGGCTGAGCCTTCCTATTTGGATAAGGCTGCTAGAACTCATGATGAAATTTACTTGTTTTAATAAATTATGAAACTTACCATATACTCGGAATCCTAGGTATTTTTATCGCTTACTATAATTATTTTTAATGGTTTTATTTATTATGATCGACCCTTTTGTTTTTTGAAAAAAAATCGTATTTCTCGAAATTTAAATAATTTTGATGGATTTTTATTTATTAATTTTTCTTGTTTTAAATTAAAATGTAAGAATGCGATGTATAATTTTTAATTTTATGTAATTCTTATCTTTGGTATATATTTTGTATATTTGTTACCTTTTGGTAGTGGACATCAACTGTCCTTTTTCATGTGTTTGTAAAAATAAATAAATAAATAAAATTTACTTTTTCTGTTTAATTACAAATTAAGAAAATGTTAAATTATTATTTCGACAGATAAAAGTAATTTAGGAATAATCTTATTACTTTTTTTTAAGGTTATCCTAAGTTAAATTATATAGGCCTATTGTATAAATATTTATCCTCCTCATAGTATTTCTGGTAAATGTTTTTAATTGCATTTTTATAAATCTTACGAAAATATATTGTTCTTTCTCTCTTTTTTTTCCGTCTTTTTTCCTCCCGAAAACATATTTTAACTTAATCTGAAATTTTATTGCACGTTTGAGACCTACATTTAAACAAGCGTTAAAGAATTGCGAAGTTTTAAATGTGTCCATTGTTAATTTATTATAGTGTCGTCGTTTATTTGAAAATGTTATCGACAGACTTTAAAATTTCTTATTTTAAATAGCTATCAGCTTAATTTTTTAAATCTCTGTTGTTATTATTTTGTCTATAACTTGAAAGAATGACGCAAATCTTAACTATATTCAGCCTAAATTTAGTATAACACTAAAAATTTTACATTGTATGATACATGTAAAATCATTTTTATTCAAATATTAATTATTCGAATAAGTTATTTTATAAATTGATTATTAGATTTTATAATACTTGAAGCTATTGATCTTAATAGGTTGAGAGAGAAATCGTTAAAGATGGATTATACGATTAACTGTACGGATTTATCTTCAGATTACTTTAAAAATTGATTTAATAAATTTGGACTTATTTTTGTTATAAATCCAAATTTATTTTTTAAATATTTATATTTAATAAACGATATTTTTCTCTGTTTCCCATTCACTAGCTTACTGGATAGAAATCAATGAAATATCAAGGCGTGATTATTTGAGTAGATTGGTTAGAGCGTCGTTCTCTAGTTCTCAATTATAATAACTCGTCCTACTATCCGTATTGAGATCGACCATTATGGGTGATGGATAAGGAATTTCTTCTTAAATTCAATAAAGAAAAAATTAAAGCCCCATATATCTGACATCTCTTGTAAAAAACGATCAAACCGAATCTTTCTCTCATCAAAATAAATTAGAGAAAGCTGAACTTAAAATATTTCTTATTTTATGAGAAATTTATGTATATAGGCCTATATAAAGAATTGTGATTATAATAATTCTTAGAAATGTTTTAAGAAGTATTGAAAAAATGAAATTCGAAACGTTTAAATGTAAACTGATATACAGTATCTTACGTGATTAACAATTCATTCTCTAATTGAACTTCTGCGTAAAAATCCGTGCATTGTATTAATAATAATGATCATCATCGTAATCATTTCATGCTTATGAAATGAAAAGAAATGCAAATTTTACAAATAGCAATTATTTTTTTCCGTATAAAATACCATAGACATTATTTATATACGAGTTTCATTCCGTAAAATTAGGGAATATCAGTACTGATATCTGCAGATAGTTCTGAGAAAACCGGGAATTTCATAGCGGATTATCAGCTAGAAAATTAGTTTAGAAAAATTTGAAATCAATATAGTTTTTTTCTTCCCAAATATAACGTCTAAAGCTGTTTTAGTTTTGCCTATCATAATTTTTCTTGTTTTTAAAGATATTTTTAAGGATAGATTTTAACTAATAAATGAAAATTCAATTTACTTTCCTTTCATGCTTTATTTCAACATTTTTTTGGCATTCTTAGAGTCGAATGAGACTATGGGATTAGCACAAATCAATTCTTCTTAATAAAAAAGTATGAAATAGTATTTTAATTTCATTCAGAAGAACTAATTTGATACTTTGAAATTCGTCTTTTTCCCCTCAAGTTGATATGTTTAAGTTAAACACTGTAAATAACAGTTTACTGATAACATTATTTTAATGGTCAATAGTATGATAAGAAGAACTGTGTAATTGTTGAATTTTATTTTCCGTAATCAGTTGGAATTCTCGAAATCTTTAAAATCATTTATTTTGATTTTATAATGATTCAAATTAGTATATACATTTTAATATTATAATAATATGCATTAGTTTTACACAAAAATCTTCATCTTAAAAAATAATTTTCAAATATAAAAAAAATTTTAATATTAATTATGTGTTATAAAATTTTTTTTCTCTTTGTTTTTTCTTCGCAATTATAGAAAATTGAAATTGCAGTCGATTAAAGATTACGTTCAGTTTTCTCCTGTGAAAGCAACAACAACTTGTAGATTAATGGTGAGGTTTAATGTATTACAGGCTATCATTATCAGCAACCAAAATATCAACTTTCTTATTTTGGCAATTGCTATCATACTGTGACTATAAAATAAGCAGGTCTTTCGTATTGAAGTGAGCAAGAGAATGTTATTAACTTTCTTTGCGACTCAAATTTCATCTATTTCCAATTAAGATAGGTAGGCCGATTTCCTCAAAATTGCGTCCTTTTATGTCCGAAGACAATGCATTTTAATGATGTTTAGGGGTGGCCCAACCCAATCTTCCCCCTCCACGAAACCCGAAAACATAACAAATATAGAATTTTAGTAACGATGTGTATTTGTAAATGCACTTTAGTTATGTATGTGATGAGGTAGGCCATTCCAATCTCGAAAAACATGACCAATAAAAGTATTTTTTAAAAATTTTTTTAGAAGAAAAATATCGAAGAAAACCTTTAACGTTTGTTGGCTTTATGACAAAATAATAACAATAATAATGATTTGTTGTTCATATTGAAAATATATGAGAATCGATGAATATATAGAAATAGACTATTGAATTTATTGCATGAATATATTTTATATAGCGAGATATCTTTAATTTTGCACAATTCAAGTATACCTGATCTGTAAATGGACGGGTCGGCATGAATAAGGGAGTAATATGAACTTCTTTC